GAAACCAATTTCAATATCATTTTGTACAATTAGATGTAAAAACTGCGTTTTTACATGGAAACTTAGAAGAAGATATTTATATTTACCCACCTAAAGGTGTTAGAATAAANAGTGGACATGTACTTAAGTTAAACAAGTCGATTTATGGGTTAAAACAATCGTCTAAGTGTTGGAATAAAAGAATAAATGATTTTCTGATAAGCTTAAAATTTTGTAGGTCAAACAGTGATTACTGTTTGTATTTTAAGAAAGATGTAACGGAAACCGTTTACTTGTTACTGNATGTAGATGACATAATTATGGCGGGTCCAAACTTAGAGCGCATAAAATACTACAAGTGTAAGTTAACTCAAGAGTTTAGTGTAAAAGATAAAGGAAGTCTTAAAAATTTTCTTGGATTGGAAATAGAACATGATAGAGTAANTAGCGTTCTAAAAATAAGTCAAAACCGGTATATACAAGGAATTTTAAGACGATTTAATTTTCAAGATTGTAAACAGTGTGTAACGCCTATTGAACCAAAGTTGGGTTTGACTGNTTGTAAGTCTGAGAGTGATACTACAAGTAAGCCTGTAAAAGAGTTAGTTGGATGCTTAATGTATTTAATGTTAGGTTCTCGTCCAGACCTAAGCTTTGCTGTAAATTATTTTAGTAGATATCAGGATAAGTGTCCGAGTGCCGTGTGGCAATATCTCAAGAGAGTGTTAAGGTATGTTAAAGGTACAGCAGATTTACATTTGGTTTATGTTCGAAAAGAAAAAGAGCGTCCGTTGGTGTGTTATGTAGACGCAGATTGGGGAGGAGATGTGTGTGATCGAAAGTCNGTGTCTGGATATTTAATTAAGGTGTTTAATAACACAGTGTCATGGGTCACTAAAAAGCAAAGTTGTGTTGCGCTATCAACAACTGAAGCAGAGCTAGTGGCGTTGTGTAATTCAGTTGTGGACGGACTTTGGTTTAAAAANCTGCTGTTAGACTTCAGTGTTGAAGTCGATAAAGTGGTAATATTTGAAGACAATCAGGCATGCATTTTTTTAGTTAAAAATCCAGAAAGTAATAAAAGAGTTAANCACATTGATTTAAAGTATAACTTTGTTTGTGAAAACTTAAGGAATGGAAGTATTTGTTTAGAGTATGTTAGAGGTACAGATCAACAAGCGGATGTGTTAACCAAAGGGTTAACGANTGCTTTGCTTTGTAAAAGTCGTGAGTATCTAGGTTTAAGTAAGTAGAGAGGGATGTTGTCAAAGTTTGTGTAACGATGAAAATGACATTAAGAGAGGGTGTTAAGGATAATGTCCTTTTTCTTTTGTTTTTTTACCGGTAGGTGGCGCGCGCGCCTAGTTCGTTATTCACTTCTAGAGTTTCTTTTTATTCGACGTTCTTTTTCCCTTTTTGTAACTGTGTAACAATAAACATAAATAAATGTTTTTACGTTGAACAAGAGATCCTTTTGTTACTGCCGAGATTGATGTTACAGTGTTAAGTAATTATAACAACACAAAGATTAACTATTATTTGTTTGTATTCTCTGTAAGAGTCTTCCCATAAAATAAATAAGCAAATAAATAATCACTATCTCTCAATATTAATACATTTGAGATCAATGACTCAGCATGTGGGTCATGTCAATGAACATATGGGCTATGTCCAATTTTGTGAATACTTTTTTGTTATAGGATGTCAGTCTCGAATGTGTTAAAATTGTTTACTTTAATATGAAAAAACTGCCGAATTATTTCTAATATTTTTATTTTGTTCTTTATTCAAGTTATTGCTGCAAATAATAATACATTAACAGTTTTTTATTTTTCCTCTTTTGTATTTAACAGTTTAATTTTTACGTACAAAAAAAGTTAAAACTTTTGTGTAATATTATAAAATTGTGAAGAAGATAAAATTATTTTGTGAGATTATTCGCATAAATAAAGAAGTAAATAAATAAATACTACATATCTACATCTTGGCATAAAAGAAAGCGATAATGGATTTTTATTTATTTATTTATTTAACACATTCAAGACCGATACTTACCGAACTTAGCATATGATTGTACTACTGCTTGTTTAATTATTTAATTTTTTTTTTACTCATTAATTTTGTTACATACAAAAGAGAAACGATATTTATTACAATAAAAAATAGTTTAAATATCGTATTATTTTAATTACAAAACTTAAACTTTTGTTTGTATTCTTTGTAGAAGTCTTTCCATAAAATAAATAAGTAAATACAAAAATAAATAATCATTATCAACATTTTGATAGTAACACAATCGAGATCGATGACTTAGTATATGGGTGATGCAATGTCTCACCGTTTAGCCGATGACTCAGCATATGGATCATGAAATTCTTAAACTAAGAATTGCCGCATTTTGAGGATAGTTTTCTTATAGGACGTTGATCTCGAATAAGTTAATTATTTACAGAAAGAATCTCATGCAGAGAAAAAAATAATTTGAAGATACAATTTGTTGCTAATCATGTGATGGTTTTCTTACTTATTTCTCTGTTTTACATTTTTTTCTTTTACTTTATTTAACTTTTAACGTACACAAAGAATATTCAAATATTGTAATAGTATTATAAAAAAAATTAAATTTTATTACAGGAATTAATGAAGAGTGTTTTTTATAGGATCATAGTTTTTGTAGGATTTGTTTCGTAAATAAATAAAGAAATAATAAATGATTATTATCAAAATTTTGATATTAGATTAATTGAATGAGCTCGTGAGATGATAAAACAGGATACTTGGACAGATGCAAACCAAAACACAAGATCATGCACAACTCTTGTTCGCGATACGACTTGTGTGTAACATCTTGATTATCATTCATCTTTGTACGAAGTTTTGTTAAACAACACATATCTAATTTGATAAAGACCTAAACCGAAGGTCAAAACGTTATGCTTATATACATCATTGAATAAATAATTTTACCATCACACATTTGCACAACAACACCCGTGTATTTAGTTCCAACTGCCTGTCACATTGAAATTTACAAAACACAAGATGTTTGTGTGAGTGAGTTCTTTATTTTTTAATAAAACGAAAACAATTACAAACATTTCGATATCATTGTTCGGATCTTCATCAATGTATGAGCAAAATTGTACAATATAAAATTTATAAGAAAAATCTCAGAGCACTCATATTGTAGTAGTTCAGTATAATTTGTAAGTATGTTTTGCTGTGTCTTCGGATGTTTGCTGGGAAGCAATGGAGTAATGCTTCACACTATGAGTGCTATGTGATTTTTTTTACAATTTTTATAATATACAATTTTTCTTACAATTTTTATATTATACAATTTTGCTTACATTGATGAAAATCCAAACAAAAAAATCGAAACGTTTGTAAGGTTTTTTGATATCAAATAATAAAATATCACTCACACGAATATCTTGTGTTTTGACTCACATCTGTTCAAGCATCCTGTTTTAACATTAGAATTATTTATTTGAAATAAAAAAATTGCCGAGATGTTGGTAGTAAGATTTTATTTATTTATTTATTTATTTAATTAGTTAATTATTTCCCAAAAAATTAAAAATATTTAAAAAAATTAAAGATTGTTTAGGTTGCAAATAATGATGTGATTATTCTTTAATTTTCCTATTTTTTCTATAATTTATTTTCTACATACAAAACATATTTTCAATTTTATTTGTAAATCACAGTTTGAAAATTTATCATTAATGCACAATAAACAATAAAATGTTAATTTTAATTTGTGTGGACTACCTGGGACATGTAAATATGGTTAAAGTAAACTCATTCATTATGTGTTATTTATTGACAAACTAGTAATGTTAAATAATTGACACTTTACACTTATATTTGTTATTTTGACTTTAAGTATAAAAAGTATAAATGTAAAAATAAAATAACATAAAATAATTAAAAACTACATAGAAAAATAGTTACAATAACTCATATAAGAAATGTTCTTCAAAAAGAACAAATACATACATTTCTTACGATTTATTGTAACTATTTTTCTATGTAGTTTTTAATAATTTTATACATATGTTATTTTATTTTCACATTACACTTAAAGTCAAAATAACAAATATAAATGTAAAGTATCAATTATATTTAACATTACTAGTTTGTCAATAAGTAATACATGACGAATCAGTTATTGTATTATCATTTCTACATATCTCAGAAAGTCCAGGAATATTAAAATTAACATTTTATTTGCTATTGTGTATTAACTACATATATAAAATATCAAGTGACAATAAGGTATAAAAATAAATATTTTTAAACATTTATTTCTTTTTCTTTTAATAAATGTTTTACATATTATACAATTATTGCGCGCTATCATTTCCACGCCACCTTGCGGTAGATAGCATGGCGCATTTTTTTATAGTGGTATACCCCAGTAAGTCTAATCCACTCTCATAATTTAAGTTAACAATTGTTCAAAATGCGAACCGTGTTCTTGCAAACAAGCGTTCGCTCTGCTCACAATATCGCGCATCGCGCGGTGCGCCATTTCTGAAGTGATCGAATTAAATGCAGCGAGAATTGCTTCTCGTACTGCATCTTCTTCGTCATCACGTCTGTGCTCGACTAACTGTTTGATGTAATCCCAAACGAAGTAGTCTAACACATTCAGATCTGGCAATCGCGCCGGCCAGATGATCGGGCCACCACGACCTATTCACCTTTCTGCGTAACGCGCATCTAACACTTGTCGTGCTCGTCGGCTGAAGTGCGCTGGTGCTCCGTCGTATTGAAAAATCAGCTGTTGCCGCACACGGAGAGGAACGTTCTCGAAAAGTACGAGCAACTGATTTTCAACAAACTGCGCATACACTTCTCCATTTAACCTTGCTGAGAGAAAATAGGGACCAATCTAAAAATTGTTAAAAAAATATTTAAAAAAGCTGCGAGACAAAGAGAGAAAGAGACTTATTTAACTCGTAAATTTATTACTTACGACTTGGTCCGCTATTATTCCTGCCCATACGTTTATCGTATAACGATACTGAAACGCGCCTTGCCGAACGGCGTGCGGATTCTCTGTATCCCACAATAAAAAATTGCGAGAATTAAACACGCCGTTCAGAGTGAAGGTCGCTTCGTCCGTTCACAGGATGCGGTCGAGAAACAGAGCATTTCGTCGACACTGCGCGAGGAATCCTGTTTCGTCGATAATAAATAATTGTTAAAATTAGTGGAAAACTTAAATTAAGACAATACCCTTACTTCCACAAAAATGGACGCGTTGTACTTCATCTCCCGGCAAAAGTTGTTGCACTTTCTGAAAATGAAACGAACATAGCCCGTTATAGCGAAGAGACCGATGCACTGTGTGTTTTGAAAGACTGAGTACGCGAGCTGCACTGCGCACACTGTCTCCAAGGTTCTCTTCGAAATGTCTAAGCACTCTCTCTTCATCGTTTACACGAATGCGCATTTGTGCACCAGCGCTATAGTGATTCACGCAACACGCAACCTGTTCGTCGCGCACGTATAACATATGTATAAAGTAAACTAAAACTACATGAAAAAATAGTTACAATAACTTGTAAGAAAGATGATCATATATCCGTATATTCTTTGGCATATTTTATTTTTGAAATTAAAGCACGATAACACATGTACGTACGTGTGATGCTGCTTAGCAACAGATATTGTGATGGGAATAACAAGATTGTTTACTTGACATGAAGTGGAATATTACTTTGCATATCTCGCCAAATTCTTTCGATGTTTTGCGTGTGACAATTAGTATGAGGATCTACGAAAGTTTCTTTGTGATTTACTGTATGGTGAGTGTAACCGTGCATATTGATTGAGTAAACAATTATGACATGAAGCGACACTTGATTGAATTCTTCATTTTTTCTCGATGGGGGAGCAAGGGGGAGGGGCAAAGCCTCCCTGCCTACATGCTTACAACACGAACAAAACGTACACGGTGTCAGGAAATAAGAGTTCATTTACGAAATTTTTTTTTTTTATAATTTTTTAACAAACAACAATTGACGGCTACAAGTTGCAGATTGTTGTTCAGGGAGATGTCTTTGACAACATATGTCAAGGTCATTGACCTCCGAAGGTGCTCCGTTTTTCTGAATATTTATCAAATTCAAATAAACTTGTTTAGCAGATATATGTTTCTATGGAATATTGTCTTATTTTTATAAATATTGAAAAATATAATAAAAACCTATAGTTAAAATGTAATCAAAATTATCAGTTGTTACTAATGCCTTATAATATAAATTTTACGATTTTGTACATTACTTTGCTTCAGAATTTAAAGAAACCAATAATTTAACAGTGAGTACATTTCATTGACCGCAACTGTATATGTATTGGAAGTACAAATTAGTTCGGTCTGTTTCCAAAAGATGACTCCGGCTGTTGTGAATGGTTCATAGTGACAGCTGATTTTGGCGGTTTCAGAGAGGTTAGACATCTGCTAATAATATTCAGTTTATATCGCTTTGAGTTTTATACAAAAACCTTGATTTTTACTGTGTTTGAAATGTCGAATTTTGTGTTAACCAAGCAGCATTTGCGAGAGGTTTTAATTTTCTGCTTTAATTGGAAGAAAAGTGCAGCTGAAGCCCATCGAATGCTTGTCGAAGTTTATGGTGACACTATTCCACCTGATAAATCATGTAGGGAATGGTTTCGACGTTTCATGGATGGAAATTTCAGCGTTGAAGACAAGCCTTACTCTGGACAGCCAAAAAAATTCGAAGACAAAGACTTGGAGGCATTACTCGAAGAAGATCAGAGTCAAACGCAAAAAGAGCTTGCAGAATCATTGGGAGTAACTCAACAAGCTCTTTCTGTACGATTGAGAGCCATGAGAATGATTCAAAAACAAGGAAATTGGGTGCCTTATGAACTGAAACCGAGAGACGTTGAAAGGCGATTTTTTATTTGCAAGTTGCTGATTCAAATGCAACAAAGAAAAGGTTTTTTGCATCGGATTGTGACTAGAGATGAGAAGTGGATATTCTACAACCCCAAGAAGAAAAAATACTACGCTAAGCCCGGTCAATCGTTGACATCGACCTCAACATCAACACCAAAGCCGAACATTCATGGTTCGAAGATCATGCTGTGTATCTGGTGGGACCAAAAGGGTGTTGTTTACTATGAGCTGCTGAAACCTGGCGATTCCATTACAGGCGGTCTGTATCAGCTACAATTGATTCGTTTGAGCCGTGGATTGCGAAAAAAACGGCAGAATACGAGCAAAGACATGATAAAGTTATTCTTCTTCATGACAACGCTCGGCCTCATGTCGCAAAAGTTGTCAAAAAATATTTGGAAACACTCAAATGGAATGTTTTACCGCCGTATTCTCCGGACATTGCTCCTTCTGATTACTGGTTGTTCCGAAGGTTGCAGCACGATTTGGCAGGTCACCGGTTCACTTCTTTCGCAGAAATCGAAAATTGGCTCCAAACTTAGATTGCCTCCAAAGACGAGTTTTTTCGAGATAGACTTTGAAAATTGCTTGAGAGATGGGAAAAAGTAGTTAGCCAGCAATGTACAATACTTTAATTAATCTATTCATTCATTTTGTCTTGAAATAATTGCATTTTTAAACACAAGAAAACGGACCAAACTAATTTGTACTCCCAATATAATATGTATAATATATATGTATAATATATATATGTATAATATATATAATATATATGTATAATATATATGTATGTGTATAATATATATATGTATAAGATATAAAAATAAATTGTATTTAAAATAGCTTGGTTTTCGGTCTTTTTTTGCAGCCGCGCCAAGTTGTTTTGCAAATAGTTTTTAGTACAAAAACTTTTTTCTTATGTTACACTTCTGTGTTCTAGTAAATGTTTTTGTAAATAATTATGGAAAATACAGGTTTGATGGGTTACTTGTTAGTTTCAGTAACAAATCGTTTTGGTATTTATAACACCGAGTACTTTGGATATAAAACGTGATCTGTAAAGTCTGCATAAGTTTCTGATTTTTTACACAAATATAATTATAAAGTTTTTCAATCGGCATTACTACTTTACTATTATTATTATAATTTTGTAGAATAAATTTTGTAGATAATTTTGTAGTATATTAAAATAAAATAAACAAAAGAGAGAGAGTTTACTTGGTGTTACTCTTTGATATCACTTCTGTTGTAAAACAGGTTTTTTAAAGAATGAATTTTTTGTAGTTTATAATATAACAATACGTGTTGTGCGTATACTTGGCGCCTTTTGTACCTTTTTTTGAAAAGATAAATTTTTCGAGAGTTTTTATACTAATATCGAAAAAGGTTACTTGAAGCTACGGTAAATATTTAGAAAAGGTCACCCCCCTCCGATTTTAATGAGCTTGACATATGTTGTCAAGGACACCTTCCTGAGTAACAATCAAAAAGTTTTAGCTGTCGCTCGTTGTTTAAAAAAAAGTTATAAACAATGAAGTTTCAAAACTAAATTTTTATTTTTCGACATTGTGTACATTTTAGGAGCTCTCTGCGTAGCCTCTCCTGCTTACACGCTTTCAACATAAAAAAAATGTACACAATGTCGAAAAATAAAAATTTAGTTTTGAAACTTCAATTGTTTATAACTTTTTTTTAAACAACAAGCGACGGCTAAAATTTACGGATTGTTACTCAGAAAGGTGTCCTTGACAACATACGTGAAGCTCATTAAAATCGGAGAGGAGTGACCTTTTCTAAATATTTACCTTTTTTTTATTTGTTTTTATTTAATTCTATTTCGAACACCGTATATCACTTGGCACATGTGCAGACACATGCGCAGAAAGAGAAAAAGTACCTGAGTAGGACAGGAATATATTTTCTGTCTCTCAGATCTGACTCACACTTCTCACTCCCCATTGCTTGAATAGGCTATTCCCACTCCATATCTATAAACTCTATGGTCACAACTGAGTACTTACAACGTTGCCATGATTATCATTCTGACTTGTTTAAATGTGTACGAATCTGTATGCACATAGTATATTAGTGTGTAAGTACTATCTCTCACAAAAATTATGCGCTGTGATCCTAAGTTACCTTAAATTTTTTGCATAGAGATATAAGAAATAGAGTGCGGGGGCGAACTGAAAAAGCGATAAAGACTTAGAAAGAGAAAGATGCATAAAGACCCTTTCTGTCTTTATCTAATCGATAGCCAAAGCTGATAGTGCTGGGCAGACGCAGAGCCCATTTTACGTTTAGTACAAATACCTATTTTATAACTGTTTTCTTTATAAATAGAAAGTTAAATAAATTGATTATAATAGTTTGTAGTTTGTCAAAAGTAATACTAATTTGTGAATAGGATTGTCGCATAAGAACTATCTTAAATATAAAATTCTAATTCTAAGTTATCTTAAATCTTTTGTATTAACGGTAGATTTTATTTGTGAATAGGACTGTCGTACGAGAACTACCTTAAATATAAAATTTAACTATGAACATCGGCCTTAGACTCGTGCACATAGCACGGAATAGAACCATGTCTACGTTTAAATATAGCATACATACCGACAAGTCGTTCGTGGACATGGCTACGTAGTTGCCAATGTGCATCATTCATGGACATTGCGCTGGTTTACAAGGTTACGTTCCAAAATCCTATCTTAGTAATCGAAAACTATAGTACACGTAACGTGAAATATAGCATTTTAGTAATTAAAGTAGGATTTTGGAACGTAAGGCAGAAAAGCGGTTACACATTCTCTTATTTAAGAGCCCTGGTTCGATATATGTAATACTCTTATATTGCTAGTAAAAGCGAAACGCTGGTAAAAACATTACGGGACAGACATATACAAATTTACATAAGACTTTCTCACTTCCAATTTGTGTACTTTGACGCCAATGCACATGAGCACGTTGAAAGCTTAGACCATATATACTTATAGACACGGCCTGTAGATATGAATCCACGAGTCGAGGTGAAGCAAAGATAATATCATCTACGTGACGTCACATGTGGGCATTTCAGCAATGGCTAAACGCGGCCTCGTAGATGATATTATCTTATCTTCAAGGCGGTTATCTGAAGCCGTCTATAAACGCGCCTTTGCTTTGCCCACATCACGTCATGTAGATGATATTATCTTTGCTTCAAGATAGTTGTCTGAAGCCGTGTCTATAAGTATATATGGTCTAAGGTTGAAAGTATCTTACACATATCTTCTATCTTACTTTCTCGGCGTGCATACCGCTTATTGGAAAGATACTTGGTTAGCAATATAGGAGTATTACATATATGCCTGGGTTTTAGTCTTCTTTTTGCTTACATTTTACAATGTTTTTCCTACTTCCAAAAAGTGTATTGTATTTAAAGTAAAAGGTGTACACTTTA